ATCATGGAAGGACTGGTCCGGTTGAATTTTCTTCTCGAAGAGATTAAAAAAAAACACGTTATTGATAGAAATAATCACAACAAACATGTAGAGCGGTGATTCCCAAACAGGGGGTAGGTGTACCCCTAGTGGTACYTGAGCATATTACAGGGGGTATGTGGAAAAATTTCTCAGTTGTGTAAAAAAATAAATAAAAATAGGACAGGGATATGTAGACAAAATCACAGAAGTGACAAAACAAAATGGAATCTCACAGAATTTGCTTATTGGGCAAGTGTTTGATGTATGTTGGACGCTGCCGCTTCCTGTACCTGCCTTTACCTGGTTTATTTATTTAATTACTTATTCACTTTCTAGGCAACATATTTATCTTTTGAGTTGAAAAGAATAACATGCTTGAGAATTAAATGTTCTAGTTCAGGGGTTTAAAAAAGTTTTCATTCAATAATCAGTTGTAAAATATAGTTTTGGGGAATCATCATTACGATTGACTGATGGGGTCTTAGTTGTATGACAAAAGGGCTCAGGGGGTACACAAGTCTAAAAAGGTTGAGAACCACTGATGTAGAGGAGAGTAACTAAAGACACCAGCAATTTAATCACAGATCATCATCAAAATTGCACTTATTGATGATATWACAGTAGTGAACATGATAAGGTCTTGTGCTGAAAATTTGCCAAGCTGAATTTTATTACARTAGTAGCCTTCTTAATATGTTGACTGAAAGTAAAATTTGCATCAAACAGAACACAGAGACACTTCACTGTGTTTGGTCCTCTGCAGCTCATTTTCACTTGGTCTAAAACYGGGGTGTCAAACTCACAGAGGGGCTTCATGCTCCTCTCGCTCTGGGTCAGACTCTGGCTCCAACATGTAAGGCCAGCTAGACAAGCTTTCCTTTGTTGACATCTTTTAATTTATGTGTYAGTAAACTGTTTAATKATTTTTCTGCTATCAAACTACAAAAATGGCCGAACGCAGTTTAAAGAGACAGCACCAAAACGAGTCACCTCAGAAAAGGGGTGAAAGAGGGGCTTATGGAGTGACAAAAATGTTGCAGTTCCACTTTATATAGACCTCAACTGAATGATTTAAAACAAAAAAATAGGTATTTAAAAATCTTGATAAACTGTATTCACTTTACTTTTACTTTTAGAAAAGAATGCACAAAAACGGTCAATGAATCAAAAGGAATTAAGCTAAATGTTTAATCAGGCCATAGCGAAGAGGTTAGAGAAAAGACTGGAAATTAAGACAGATGGAAAACTGAGGGAGGAAGAGGGTAAAAAAGTGTAGGGGGTGGTGGGGGTGAATGGGAGTAGCCGTATGAGAATAATTAGAATGACTGATGTTGTTTACTCCCATTTCCCCTCGCATCATTTATTCTGCTGAGGTGGAAAACCCTCTCTCTCTCTCTCTCTCTCTCTCTCTCTCTCTCTCTCTCTCTCTCTCTCTCTCTCTCTCTCTCTTCGTTACAGACCAGAGCTGCAAAGTGGTGCCAAGCCATGTCACCCCACCACCCCCTTTTCTTCCGTTCACACTGGAAACATTTATCCTGCCCTCAGCTTTCTACACTCCTTCACTTCTACTCTGCTCCCATTTGACTTCACCCCTTTTGTCTCTGTCTACCACCTATTTGTCTTTATCCATCTTCCTCTCAGCTCCCATTTTCAGTTCCTACTTTTTTCACCCCCTTTTCCATCCCACGATTGTTGTGTGTGTGCGTGCYCGCCTGCGCTGAGCACATGTAAGATGTTAGCGTGATGTATGGCCGTTTACACTGAGGATGACAAACTGAGGCTGGATGCTGTCATGCTTTCCTTCTTTCTTTCTCTTTTTTTTATGTTTAATGCAGTCCTGGTGGCACGCACGCACACACAGAACCAGATGAGCACCCAGCCACCCAGCTCTTTGTTTAAACAATGTTGGTTGTCTTTGCCAGCAAACATGCAACATGGTATGGAAACAGATGTGTCATCTTAAGACAAGAAGGTGGTGGAGGGTTGGGGGGAAAGACAGAAAGAAACCCACAACTAAATATTTTCATCTGGGACCAAGACTTTAGAGCAAATATCCCATTTTGCAAAGTCAAAGTGGAACATGTGATTGTCATGTGTAAAACAGGGTGTTTGAGCATAATAAAAGAGGGAAAACAATCTAGTTTCTAAAAGTATGGTAAATGAGGAGGGTCTTTCCTGGGTGATGATGCTATTCACATTGGAATTTGCTAATGGTCTGCCCATTCACAAGAAAGCGTGGAGAGAAGGAATATATATATATATWTTTTTTTCTTCCATCTGTGCTTATTGATTCTGGCACCATGACAGATGCCTAATGAGGAACAGGACTGGAGGAACGCTCTGAGGACCCCAGAGGGAGACTCGGTCTGGATAAATGCAGATGCAAATTCACAGAGAACATATTGTGTGCTGAAGTGACAGCACACGGACAGAGATGAGCTTCTTTAATTTTTACAAAGAAAATATCTGAACGTTGGAAACACTTAGACATTTTTTTACTTTTTTTTTCAAGTAAATGGTATGTTCTAAATAGTTTTGCAAAGATCAAGCAGCTCCACTATGTAGAAAATACAATACAAAAGTTTTGAGTTATCCCACTTTTTTTTTATTGAGGCTTTCTCATAATCTTTTAAAGAAATCCCCATCAGTATTTCTTCAGGCATTTTTGTCTTTCAAAGTTTTTCTTTGGACTTTGACTGCTTAGTCAACGTTTAAAAAAAKCCTGCGAACTTACTTTCATTTTTGCTTGATAACTCTAACCTATGAATCACGTAGGCATTAAAAAGGCTCCTAAACTCGAGGAATGGACCTGAGTTGTGTTGACACATAACACACAACTTAGCAACAATAACAACAACAAATTATGAACATTTTTACTTGCAGCTTGTCACAAATAAAGCATATTGCTCACATTATTTTTAGCTGCATCTATAAAAAGACCAACAGTTTGAAAGCATTTTAGAATAAAACCAGAGGTTTTAGCTCAATACCTCATTTAGAGGATCATCAAAAAGATGGGTTTTGTTAGATTGCTTTCATTTTTATGAAATACAGTTTTCAGATATATTCATCTGCTGTATTGGAGATATTTTTTTAGGCCAGACACTTCTTTTATTCCTCACTTGTCCCTTCTACATTACAAAATAAATACAGTAAGATGTGAAGTGGCTTCAATCAGCAGTCTTGATCCAACTCCTTTAATTTATATCTATATTGCACTATTAATCAGTGACTGGCAATGACTTAACACACACATGTGAACACTCAGATTTAAACTAAGTCATGATTGGAGTAAACCTTTTCATAGAAGCATTTTCTATCAGGAAGTGTATAATTATTGTAGGCAGAGGGACAGATAGATGGATGTGTTTGTGCTTCACACTCCCACTCAATTTCCCTGCAATCTACTGGACTAATAGAAAGCAGGTGTCCCTCTCTCCCCCCACTCTCTGCATGTGTGTGCAGATAATACAGTATGGCACCATGAAAATAAATCTATCGATCTGGTGTCAAGTTAGTAAATGAGTGACAAGGAAAGATTTCTGTTAGTAACCATGAATCAGACAAATTTTTTGGTTAATCAAATGCTTTTATTTTTTACTTCTGATTCATTGAACTATAGCATTGGTCTGATTATATAWAAAAAGCAAAAATTAAAGTTATTTTAATTGTTATTAGCTAATGACACTTGTTGGTCTTAAACGATAAATTGTTAAATACAAATTAAGTTTATCTTATTTTTTTTCAAATCTAAATACAAATGTTCTGTTTCAGCTGGTTTTCTTACTGACAAGGCAGAGAAAACACCGATCAGCCAGCGCAAACACAACAACACAAACACACTGTTAAAAGCCACAGTAAAAATCCACCTGTATGAAAAAAATTAAATCTGTGAGTACTTGTAGGGGTCATGTGGATGGATCTTGTGTTGTCTTTATTACTGTGAAAGTAAAGCTCTCGGTATGTGGATGTTTGTGAGCAGGAGTGTGTGATGAGTGTGCACAGGCAGTGCTGTTTCACATTGGTCACAGAATATCCTTTCCTTTCCCCACCAATCCTCAGCTTTCTCTGCAGAAGCAGAAATGCCTACAACATAAGAGTGTCTTCCTGTGGTTTTGACAGCGTCTGAAAAATAATAAAAGATGCATTGTGGSTTTAGTGTTTCCACGATCCAGTGTATTTTATCTTAAGTAATGTAAAAGTGGTTCTATGTAGAAAAAAGAATATTCGTTATGCAATGTATATTTTACACATATTTACTGTGACCATTCACTCCAGTCATTGTAAGGCAGAGGAGGCTGTTCAGGGGCCAGGCTGCTGTCTACTGT